GAGGGGGTGGAGAACCATTTATCAGGCTAATGGACATCAAAAGAAAGCTGGGGTAGCCATCCTTATATCAGACGAATTAGATTTTAAACCAAAGACTGTAATAAGAGATTAAGAGGAGCACTATATCATAATAAAAGTATCTATCCAACAAGAAGATCTAACAATTGTAAATATTTATGCCCCTAACGTGGGAGGAGCCAATTATATCAACCAATTAATAGCAAAATTAAGGAAACACATTGAAAAATACAATAATAGTAGGGACTTTAACACCCCACTCACTGCAATGGACAGATCATCTAAGCAGATCAACAAGGAAACAAGGGCTTTGCATGACACACTGGATCAGATGGATTTCACAGATATATTCAGAGCATTTCATCCTAAAGCAGCAGCATAAACATTCTTTTTGAGTGCACATGCAACATTCTCCAGAATAGATCACATACTAGATCACAAATCAGGCTTCAACCAGCACAAAAAGACTGAGATCATACCATGCTTATTTTTAGCCACAGTGCTATGAAACTTGAAGTCAACCACAAGAAAAAATTTGGAAGGACCACAAATACATGGAGATTAAAGAACATCCTACTAAAGAATGAATGCATTAACCAAGAAACTAAAGAAGAAATAAAAAAAAAATACATGGAAGCAAATAAAAATAAAAACATGACAGTCCAAAACCTTTGGGATGCAGTAAAGATGGTCCTACAAGGGAAATATATAGCAATATAGACCTTCCTCAAGGGGCACCTGGGTGGCTCAGTCGTTGGGCGTCTGCCTTTGGCTGGAGTCATGGTCCCAGGGTCCTGGGATCGAGCCCCGAATCAGGCTCTCTGCTTGGCTGGGAGCCTGCTTCTCCCTCTCCCGCTTCCCCTGCTTGTGTTCCCTCTCTTGCTGTCTCTCTCTGTCAAATGAATAAATAAAATCTTAAAAAAAAAGACCTTCCTCAAGAAGCAAGGAAAGTCTCAAATACACATACTAACCTTACAACTAAAAGGGGCTGGAAAAAATGCAAATAAAGCCTAAATCCAGCAGGAGAGGGGAAATAATAAAGATTAGAACAGAAATCAATGATATAGAAATAATAATAAAAAAAAAAAAACAGTAGAACAGACCAACGAAACTAATAGCTGGTTCTTTGAAAGAATTAACAAGATTGATAAAGCCTTAGCCAGACTTATCAAAAAGAAAAAAGAAAGGACCCACATAAATAAAATCATGAATGAAAGAAGAGTGATCACAACTAACACCAAAGAAATACAAACAATTATAAGAGAATATTATAAGCAATTATATGCCAGCAAATTAGGCAATCTGGAAGAAACGGATGAATTCCTAGAAACATATATAAACTACCAAAACTATCAGCTGCACAGTTCTGAGAGGGTACATTCTCTCAGCAACCAATATCACGGCTTCATTCAGCTGCAAGAAGAGCTCTGCCTGGAATGTAAATATCCATGAGTTCCCCCCCCGCACATGTGTGACACCTCCTACATGTATGCATGCATGCATGCATCTATCCATCCATTCATCCAATTAACAGGAATTAAGAAAAACTCTACACCATCACTTTAGTTAAGTTTTAGGCTCCTCCAGAATGGAAACAAAGAAGTAAAGTGTGAAAAGGGTGGGGTTGTTTGAAATAATAAAAAAACAGGTGACAAGAGACAAACTATCTTCATCAAATAATTCAAAATAACATATGTAGATATCTTGTCTCCATGAGGTGAACCTTAATTCCATTTCCCAACCCTGAGGTCAGGACTGACTTAGTGATTCACATCTAAAGAATATAGTAGGTGAATGGAAAATAGTTACATTAGTCAAACTAAACAAACATCACCTTAACCTCGTACTGAGGGTCAACATCTCAGTGATGCCATATTGGTATCAGGTCCTCCTAAATGTAATGTGATGCGAGGGCACTTCAACTCTTTGGTGTTCTTTCCCAAAATGCATAACCTCAATCTAATCAGGAGAAAAAATAACAAGACTATGCCTGTACTCCTCAATACTGTCAGGGTCATGAAAACACTCTGGTAATTCCTGAAATGCTTCAGCAGTTACCATATGACCCAGCATCCCACTGTAGGTACACACCCAGGAGAGATGACAACATATGTCTATATAAAAACTTGGACATGGACGTACATAGCATCATTATTTATAATAGCCAAAAATGGAAATAACCCAATTTTCCATCAATTAATGAATGCATAAATAAAATGTGGTATATTATTTGGCAATAAAAAGGAATCAGGGGCGCCTGGGTGGCTCAGTTGGTTAAGCGTTTGCCTTTGACTCAGGTCATGATCCTGGGGCCCTGGGATCGAGTCTCGCATCAGGCTCCCTGCTCAGCGGGGAGTCTGCTTCTCCCTCTTCCTCTGCCCCTCTCCCTGCTTATGCTCTCTCTCTCTCTCTAATGAATAAATAAAATCTTAAAAAAAAAAGAAAAAGGAATAAAATAGTGATATGTGCTATAACATGGATGAACCTTGAAAATGCTATGACAGTAAAGCCAAATATGCAAAAGACCACATGTTGCATGATTCCATTTATATAAAATGTTCAGAGACAGGCCATCAATATAACTGTACCCAAGGAGTTTTCCCCTTTCCATCCTGACTTCCAGAAAGTTCTGTGGGTCACCAGCCCCTTGTTCCCATTATCCTGTTCAAGCTGCAGTTCAGGATTTTGTCACAAGGTGGCATCAACGTACCACCAGCGTCAAACTTCTGTCCTACAGAATGTTTGCAAGAAGTAAAAAATAAATAAATAAATAACAATAACCACCCTAAAAACCCAGGCTGTGAACCTATACAGAATGACTTTACACCTGAAAAAATGATAGATGTAAAATAAGATTGTGATATACTATGGGGTCCGGAGACATCAAAACACCTGGTGGCAAGGGCGCCTGGTAGGCTCAGTCAGAAGAGCATGTGACTCTTGGATCTCAGGGTCATGAGTTTGAACCCCACGTTGTGTATAGAAATTACTAAAAAAAAAATAAATAAACTTAAAAAAAAAAAAACACCTGGTGGCAGTGGCATGCTTTGGCAGTCTGTAGCAGGCATGCAAAGGGCAATGCAGGGCAGAAGAGGAAATAGATAACTAAGAGAGGATGGGGCTCGGAGTGGGGTCTGGGCAGCTGTGGTCTGTGTCATGGACAGGGGATGACAAACAGGGAGTATAAGTTGGTCTGGGTAGCCTGCAAAGATGGGGTAATAGAAGGTGAACACCCTGTTTTCTGGTAGGGACACTGCACAGTCCACAATGTACATCAGCTGGCAATAATGAGGGAAGAGATAAATCAATGAACACCAGGTAGTCTGCGGTTAGTGGAAAATGAATCTGCTTTAATACACTTATGAATTTTCCTAGCAGGATGGGTATCAGAGTAAACAAACCATTTTTCCCTGATATTTAAAAAAAATTTTAGATATCTGAATTGTGAACTCAGCCAGAGTCACCTTGTGAGCACATGAATCAGATCTTGTTGCTCCCATACTGCAACCCTCCAAACTCAGAATGACTCCAATCTCCATACACAGCCCAAAATATGTGGCTCCTCTCTGCCCTTCAATCTCATCTCTTACGACTGGCACTTTGTCTGCCAGACTCTGGCCACTTGAGTTCATCCTCTGCTCCTGGAACTAGCGCCACACACATCACAAACCAAAATACCAGCCCAGGCCCGGTTTCCTCTTGTTCAGGACTCAGTTCAAATGTCACTGCCTGAGAAACAGCATCAGTGACAACACCATCTATAACACTCCCTGTCCCCATCATTTCCTACGCAATGGATACATTTATTTTCTTTAAAGAACTCATCCCATATGAAATTCTCCTGCCTATTTATTTGCTTACCTGCTTATTGCCAGTTTTTCCAGGCTAGAAACAAAGCACCAGGGATGCTGCCTTGTCTTGTTCAATGTGACGCATCCATGGCAAGTGGCTACTTCAATGGCTGTTATAGATTGAACTGCATCACGCCCAAAAAGATATGAACCACCAATACCTCAGAACATAACTGTATTTGAAATTAGGGTTGCTGCAGATGCAATTAGTTAATACTGGAGTAGGGTCTGTCCTCAAACAAATGTGACTGGTGTCCTTATGAGAAGACAGCCATGTGAAGACAAAATAGGGACAACACACTGTGATGATGAAGACAGTGATTGGAGCCAACATCTGCAAGCCAATAAATGCAGAGATTGCCAGCAAACCACCAGAACCTAGGAAGGAGCATGGATAGTCCCCAAAAGGATTTTGGGGGAAGCATGACCCTGGAAATACTTTGATCAGGGCTAGCTTCCAGAATTGTGAGCTAATAAATTTCTATGGTTTAAGCCATCCAGTCTGTGGTACTTAGTTACATGAGCCTTAAGAAACTATGGCAGTCCTTCCCAAATAAACACTGAATAGTATGACTGAAAAGAAAGAATTGTTCCCTTTCTGATCCACTGGGAGCACACACAAATATTTAAAGCTGAGCTTCCAAAGAAACTGACATCAAAATAAGACATTAAATGATTCAAAATTTTAAGAAACCCTTGTTGCAAATTCACAGCAGTGCTATTCAATCTTGGGTGAATACCATAACACACAGGAGAAATCATTCTCACTCCACCTCCCTGTTTTGGATACAGCAGACCTAGGGTGATCTTCTGTACCTGTTATTTTAACAAGCACTCCATGCCAACTTGATGAGGGGGTATATAGACCATACTTGGAAAACTCCTGATCTAAACATCTAACATTTCTGTACCATTAATTTAATGCCTACCTTGCAGAGTTCTGTGATACGTGGTGTGTCTCTGTTAATAAATTACTCAAAAGGGCACTGGTCCTTCCCTCCCACCTATAACCACAGATTCCTTTCTCACATGGGATCTCACTTAAAGTCCACAATACTCCTGGGTGGTTGGGAGAGTTGGGTATTGTTATTCTGTTATATAAAAGACACTGGAGGAAGAGTAGTGACTTACCTAAAGTATCCCAATGATGGGACCCTGATCTTGTCGCTCTTGTTCCAGCAATTTGTCTAGCACACTGGACATCACACCTGGTTCTTCTCTATTGTTTCCTGTTTCTGGGGCTCACAGTTCACACACTGCTCTGCTTTCACTAGAAGGGAGAGACAGGAGATCATTCAGCACATGGAATAGAGAGGAAAGTGAGAGGAAGGGAGAACACACGAAAGGCAGGGAAAAGGGGCGAGGATGTGCTTGCCTGTCCTCACTCAGGTCACTGGAAGCTGTGCAGTGACACTCTTCCTCTTCTCCAGCTCCATCTCACAGCCCCCTCCCGTACACAGCAGTGACACTGAAGCTCTTACATCATGGAAATATGGGCTCATCCCTGCTTGCTGCTCCATGTCCGAGTATTACTTTTTTTTTTTTAAAGATTTTATTTACTTGACAGAGAGAGAGAGAGAGACACAGTGAGAGAGAGAACACAAGCAGGGGGAGTAGGAAAGGGAGAAGCAGGCTTCCCGCCGAGCAGGGTGCCTGATGTGGGATTCGATCCCAGGACCCTGGGATCATGACCGGAGCTGAAGGCAGATGCTTAACAACTGAGCCACCCAGGCGCCCCATGTCCAACTATTCTATCTGGTACTCATGCTATCAAATTAATGTCAGAGGCAACATTACATTCCTTCTATATTTTGGGAAATACTCCATTTTGCAGAGCAAAGTACATACTGAAAGTATTTTGGGAGGTGACAAATAGACACAGAACCTAATTTGAAGGGGTAAACACTGGCCAATTCGGTAACAATGTGTGCATCAAACTACACAATTATACTGTCAGATGGTAAGCCTTTGAGCAAAATAAAAATCCATGAGTCATACTAATAAAACAAATACATGAATGAATGAATGAATAAATAAATAAATAAATGAGATGGAAAAGCTCTTCCCAATATATATTTTTTTAAAAGATTTTTATTTATTTATTTGAGAGAGAGAGAAAGCATGAGGTGGGGAGGGTCAGGGGGAGAAGCAGACTCCTCGCTGAGCAAGGAGCCCGATGTGGGACTCGATCCCGGGACTCCAGGATCATGACCTGAGCCGAAGGCAGTCGCTTAACCAACTGAGCCACCCAGGCGCCCACCCAATATTTTTTTTTAGATTTTATTTATTTATTTGACAGAGAGAGAGAGAGAACAAGTAGGCAGAGAGGCAGGCAAAGGGAGAGGGAGAAGCAGGCTCCCCGCTGAGCAGGGAGCCCGATGCAGGGCTCGATCCCAGGACCTTGGGATCATGACCTGAGCTGAAGGCAGTGGCTTAACCGACTGAGCCACCCAGGTGCCCCACTTCCCAATATTTTAATGACAATTTATAAATCTAGAAGGAATGACAATTGTAAGATCAACACGTAAAAGCTATCATGGTAACGAGTGATTCAGGCAAGAATTACAAATGCATTTTCACTCTGTATGAAATACCCCAGTGATCACTGAGTCACCAGAGTAACCTGTCCAGTTACTGTCCACTTGGACAGTAATGCTGTCCAAGGAAAGCTGGGAAAAAAACAAACAGCAACTATCCTGACTTGTCTCCTAACATGTACTAGGAACTAAGGAGGACTGACATAACTCACAGTAATTCACCTCACATATTCCTCACAAGAAATATTCCTCACAGCTACACACACACACACACACACACACACATTCATATGTGCTCACTCCCTCTTTTTCTTACCACCCAAGATCCAAGGAATTAATTGAGGTGGATTTGTTTGGGGATAAAGAAGGAAAACTCCACAATTCAATTCAAACCAAACAAATAAAGTTAAAAGCCACTAAATTATTTCATGTTAGTAACTAATTTTCTGAAGATGACCTGTAGAATTTCCCATGGGTCATTTGATTCCCTAGGATCAGTATATTGCCAATCATATTTAAAAGCCAATAAGGCAATCTAAGCAAATGAATATTGTGATGATGAATTTTGTGTGTCCACTTGGTGGGGCCACAGTGCTCAGATATTTCATTATACTGGATATTTCTGTGAGAGTGTTTCTGAATGTGACTTACACTGAAATGGGCAGTCTTTGAGTAAAGCAATTAGCTCTCCATAACGTGGGTGGGCTTTATCTAATCAGGTGAAGGGCATGAACAGAACACAGGGCTGATCTTCCCTGGTCTAGAGGGAATTTTGCCAGTAGACTGCCTTTGACATCATCTACAACATCAGTACCTTGTGGTTCTCTAACAGACTGCCTTCAGACTCCAACTGTAACTCTTCCCTGAGTCTTCAGCCTGGCAGGTTCTCCCATTAGATTCTGCCAAGTCTCCAAAATCTCGAGTCAATTCCTGAAAATATATCTCTATCTATCTATAAACACTCTATTGGTTCTATTCCTCTGGAGACCCTGACTAATATAGGTCTTAAACATCAAGTATTTTTTCCATACTTAAGTAACTTGTGCTTTCAACCAGAAACATTACCCAGCAACATTTTCCTACTGAGAGTTCAGTGAAAATATAATTAAAAAGTGTAACACAAAATACTGCCATTAACAATAGCATAAAAAGTATGAACTACATAGAGAAAACTATATAGCACATGCATATTCACATGTGCAAGGCCAGTACTGTGACCCCTGCAAAACATCAGCTGAGAGAAATTAAACAAGGCCTAAATAAATGGAAGGATATATCATCTTCTTGAGGGAGGAGACCTAGTATTATTATCTATCCTCCCCAAACTGACCTATAGAATCAATACAATCCCAATAAAAATCCTAGCATACATTTTAAAACATAAGTTGACATTCTTATACTAAAAGTCATGTGGAAATAAAAAGAGACAAGAATATGAAAATAACTTTGAAAAAAAAGAATAAATTGAGAGGATAAGCACTGTCTTATTTCAAGACTCATCATAAATCCACAGTAATCAAGACAGAGTGGTATTGGGATAAAGATAGAATTGTATATCAAAGGAACAACATAAAGAGTCCACAAATAGAACCACTCATAAATGAATAACTGACTTTTGACAAAGCTAAAGGCAATTCAGTGCAGGAAGTGTAGACTTTTCAACATATGGTACTGGAACAAGTGGGTCTCCATATGCACAAACATCAACTGCGATAGATATAGCACACCATATGCAAAAGTCAACTCAAAATGAACAAGAGACTTAATAAAAAGCTAAAATATAAAACTTCTAGAAGAAAATGCAGTAGAAAATCCTTCTGACCTCAAGTTAGGTAAAGATTTCCTAGATAGGACACCAAAAGCAAAATCAAGACAATAAATAAACAAATTGAAAAACTAGACTTCCTCAAAATTAAAAACTTTGTTCTTCCAAAGACATTATTGAGAGAATTAAAAGACAAGCTGCTGACTGGGAGAAAATTTTGCAAGTCATATATCTGATAAAGGACTTGTATCTAGAAGAAAAATTCTTATAAATGTCAATTAGAAGAGGAGAATTACAAAAAAGATGATGGACTAGGGGGACCCTAAGCTCACCTCATCCTATGGATCCAACTAGATAACACTCACATCAATGGAAATAACCCAGAAAATGACCCAAAGACTGGCAGAGCAATCTCCACAACTAAAGGTAGAAAAGACCTGTACCTCTGAAACAAATAATACATTATATGTTAAAAAAAAAAAAGATAGTAGGAAGGGAAAAATGAAGGGGGGAAATCGGAGGGGGAGACAAACCATGAGAGACTATGGACTCTGAGAAACAAACTGAGGGTTCTAGAGGGGAGGAGGTGGGGGGATGGGTAGGCCTGGTGATGGGGATTAAAGAGGGCACATACTGAATGGAGCACTGGGTGTTATAAGCAAACAATGAATCATGGAACACTACATCAAAAACTAATGATGTAATGTATGGTGATTAACATAACATAATAAAATTTTTAAAAATGTAAAAAAAAAAAAAAAGAAAAGAGGCCATATCAGAGAGGGTAGGAAAGGCAGAGATGCAGTTAGAAGCTAAAGGGAGCCCTGGGACCTTCTGCAGAGGGAGAGACCCTGGCATGGAGAGGGGAAAGAAACAGACTATCACACCAGGAAGCCCACACAGGAAAGATAAATCCCCATAACATTTGGCTTTGAAAGTGAGAGGGGCCAAATTTTATGAGTTGGAAAGGAAAGACTGTAAGTAAGAGTAAGAAAAGTAGGAAGCACAAAAGCAGTAAAAACTAGTATTTCTGTAAAAATCAGTCAAGGGATTCATAAAATAAAAGGATGTTAAATATGACACCATATACCTAAAATGTTGGGGAAGAGGAGTAAAGAATGGGTTCAAACTGAAGCAACCATCAACTTAATATAGACTGCTGCATGTATAAGATGTTATATACAGACATGCCCGTGGCCTTCATCAATACTGCTGGGAGCGTCCACCTGCCATCCACCAGTATGGTAACATAATTACAGTACCACCAATTGCTAAGTAACTATGGGCTACCATCTCTAGGCTACACCCAGGGAACGGGGAACAGCCAGGCTCCCAAAAGCAAATATGCTGAGTTGCTAGCCATCATCAAGGAGTTGGGGAAGGAAATTGGACCCACCTATGCAGGGAACAAGAGTGCCATGGAGAGACTAAAATGAGGCATTATTCACACCAGAGGACTGGTGTGAGAGTGCTTGGCTGAAAAGGAGTGGAATGCCAGATCCTAGCTGCCTGTTAGTGCGGAAGGTTTTCCATCTTCTTCCAAGATGAGAAGTTACAGCTCATCTCCCATGCTCAGATGAAACTTTTTTTTTTTAAAGATTTTATTTATTTTTTAGAGAGCGAGCGAGCGAGAAACAGCATGAGAGGGGGGAGAGTCAGAGGGAGAAGCAGGCTCCCCGCTGAGCGGGGAGCCCGATGTGGGACTCGATCCCAGGACCCTGGGATCATGACCTGAGCCGAAGGCAGATGCTTAACCATCTGAGCCACCCAGGCGCCCTCAGATGAAACTCTTGTTTTCAAAATGGTAGCAGTTTGTTTTCTCCTTCCCGTGTCCCTCCCATGGTTCATGAGGCTCTGAGATTGAGAAATATTTTGCAGATGACTAGGATTTACATTTTAAATAGTTAGGAACTACCCAGGATTTTTTTTAAAGCACTGATTTAAAAGTTGCATGTAAAAGATACTTAT